AAAGTAATTGGAGCACATTTTAAAAGTACTATTCATGCCATCTAAATAGTTGAAATTATTGGCATAAAGTTCTCCATAATGTTGCTTTATCAACTTTTTAAAAAACAATGTAAGATCTGTACTGCAATTCCCTATTTCATTCCTAATATTGGTAATTTATTCTCTCCTCTCCTTTTTCTCTTGACCTCAGTTGCTACTCAAAGCAGAAATAGAACATTGTCTTTGTAAATCAGATATCCCCCAAGGCTGTAGTCCTAAATCCTCGAGCCTAGTGAACATTTCCTCAAGGTGTTCAGTTATGGCTAAGAAGTTTTCATAATTTTGCCCCCTGTGTGTTCCACAACATCCTTGGATATATTTACAACAGCTACAAATACATGTATAGAAATATCCTCTTCTAAACCTATATATGGGAGCTCTGGTAGCATAGTGCCTAAGGCACTTGACTGCTAACCAGAAGGTTGGCGGTTCAAACCCACTAGCCACTCCTCGGAAGGAAGATGGGGCAATCTACTTCTGTAGTGATACTGCCTCAGAAACCCAAGGAGGGGTTGCTATGAGTTGGGTCTGACTCCACGGCACTTAACAACAACAAACCTGTATATACTCATGAGTGTAATCCTTTTTGCTTTTCACATCTGTTCACCTTGCATATATACCAGTGTATCTACTTGTAGGTGTTGCTTATTATTGCTTTCATTGCAGGACTGTGTATGTAATAATAGTTATCTTTGTTGTCCTTTAGTCATGTACTGCTCCCATTGGTCATGATGTGCTGTTTTCTCCTTTATTGTATATTGCCTTTTCCTTCATCCCCATTACTATATGTCTACTTTCCAGTTAGTGAGTAGTGAGTTAGTATATGTCTACTCTCCAGTTTAGCCTCCCTTTCTCTCTCATCCATGGTAACCATCAAAGAATGTTCCTTTTTGTGTGTAAACCTATTCTTTACTTTTTATAATATATCTGTCCTTTTGTGATTAACTTATTTCACTCAGCATGTTCTCCAGGTTCGTCTGTGTTATGAGGTATTAAGTATATTCTTCATTATTCTTTAATGTTGTGCTGTATTCCATTATGTGTATGTACCATAATTTGTTACCCATTCATCCATTGATGGACATTTCAGTTGTTTCCATCTTTTTCCTATTGTGAATAATGCTGTGATGAACATAGGTCTGCATTTATCTGTTCATATCATAGCTCTTATTTTTCTAGGCTACATACCTAGTAGTGGGATTGCTGAGTCATATGGTATTTCAATTTCCAACTTTCTAAGGAAGGTTCAAACCCACCAGCCACTCCTCGGAAGGAAGGTTGGGCAATCCTACTTCCATAGTGATACTGCCTCGGAAACCCAAGGAGGGGTCGCTATGAGTCGGGGCTGACTCGGCATATAACAACAACAACAACAAGGAAGTGTTACATCATTTTCCATAGTGGTTGTACGATTTTACATTCCCAGAAGCAGTATAAGAAAGCTTCAATCTCTCTGCACCCTCACCAGCATTTACTGTTTCCTAATTTTTTGAACTTTGCTGTTATTGTTTGGGTGAGATGGTATCTCATTGCTGCTTTGATTTGCATCTCTCTAGTGGCTAATGATTGTGAACATTTCTTCATATGTTTGTTAGCTGTCTGAATGTCTTCTTTGGTGAAGTGTCTGTTCTTGTCCTCTGCCTGTTTTTAAAGTGGATTTTTTTGTTATTGTTGAGGTGTTGACATTTTCTGTCAGTTTTGGAGATTAGTCCCTTATCTGATATATTATTGCATTCCCACCCCACCCCCAGTCTGTAGGTTCTCCTTTTACTCTTTGGAAAAGTCTTTTGTTAGGCTTAAGTGTTTAATTTGTAGTCCCAGTCATCTAGTTAATCTTCTGTTTCTGCATTTTTACTGCAGTTCATAACTTTTTACATAGGCATAAACAAGGCACTCAATTTTAAAATGCAAAAAAAAAAAAAAATCAGAATTGAAAAGCGTTTTGATAAGCACTTCTCTGTCATTAATACGTAGGTTTAATAAATCTTTGGATTTCATTGTGAGTGTTTTTGTTTTGTTTTAATCTTTATTGGTATGTCATTCTTCCTATTTGTACTTCTCAATTCATGAAAGAGATGTATCTTCTGGGGCCTTTCACAACAGGTGATGTGTATACAAGCAAAAATGGAGATCTGGGTAGGGCAGCTCCAAGTCTCCTGTATTCTCAGCACTGAGGGCTGTGTTCAGAGGTTCAGGTTATGAGATGTGCAGGCAAGGAAATAATGCTGTCCATTTACAGGGCTTTGGGAAAGGTTTCCCTTATCGCTCTTGGCTAGCTCTAGGCAAGCGACAGCTAACGAGAAGACAGAGAGCAAATCTAGACAGGAAGCTAGACCTTGAAGACATTCTTCCCCCTCTCCCTCATCCCACACCTCCACTGCCTAGGATTAAATAGGGGCTGGCTGATGAGTTTTGACATATGTTTAGTCAGATGCTTGTTATAAGCAATTGTTGTCCTGACTTTCTCAGTGGGTTTCTGCTGGTTCAGTAACTATCTAGTCATTTTCTCAACACCTTCTGTTACAGCTACACTTAGCTACTGATGATGACCTGTTGAAGCTGTAAATGAGTCAGTTTCCTTGATAACTTAAAGCATAATTAGGGATAGTTATATCGGATTTTGCCACTGATGGCTCAGTGGTAGAATTCTCACTTTCCATGCAGAAGATCCAGGATCAATTCCCAGCCAATGCAATTTATGAGCAATGCAACCACCCCACAGTGGAGGCTTGTGTGTTGTTATGATGCTGAACAGGTTTCAGTAGAACTTCTATACTAAGACATACTGGGAAGAAAGGCCTGGTTATCTGCTTCTGATGATCAAGTCAATGAAATCCCTGTGGATCACGATGGTCTGATCTGCAACTGATCGTGGGGATGTCACAGGACCGGACAACATTTTGTGCTGTTATACACTTAGTTGCCATGAGTTAGGGACCAACTCAATGGCAGCTAACAATAACAACAATTTATTTACCCTTTAAATTGTCTCCCAGACAATAACAACATTGGATTTACACTTTAAAATTTTCTCCCAGTCCTATGGCAAGTTCTGGCCAGCTTATGCTGGGATGGTTCTAGCAGCTATCTCCACCCTGACTTCAGTCCCCCCCCTTCCTTACAGGGACTCTGTTATAAGGCCATGCCCAACCTCAGAATTAGTACCATTTCTGTCACATTGCCTCTATCTGGAGAATAAAACAAGAAGGAGCATCGTATTTTGTCTTTCCATCTTTAAACTCCTCTGTCCCACATATTCTATGCTCATAGATGGTGGTTCACATATATAGTTTTAGTAAAAATAATAACCACATCGTAGAGACATAAGTGCTGTATTCATTTCCAATTGCTTCTGTGATAAGTTACTGCACACTTAGTGGCTTAAAACAACACAAATTTATTATCTTAAAGTTCCATAGATTAGAAGTTCACTGGGTTGTATTCCTTCCTGGAAGCTCTAGGGGAGAATCTATTTCCTTGCCTTTTCTAGCTTCTAGAAGTTACCTGCAATTCCTTGGCTCATAATCTCCTTCCTCCATCTTCAAAGCCAGTTAAATCCCTCTCACATCATCACTGTGACCTGCTCTTGTACTTTTTTCTACTTTTCAGGACACGTGATTATACTGAACCCCTTCCCACAGGCTATTCAGGATACTTTTCCCTATTTTAAGGTCTGCTGACTAACCACCTTAATTCTGTCTGCTACCTTAACTCCCTTGGACTATGTAAACTAGCATATTCACAGGTTCCAGGGATGAGGACACGGACATGTTTGAGGGACCAGTATTCTGCCTGTAGGTATCTACTTATACACAAGTGCTTCCACTACTTTATTCCTTTGAGTCTCTGAGTAATTTTACACATGGGGGACCTGAAATTTCAGGTATCCCACAGCAAGGAGGTGGTAAAACAAGGGCTTAATTTCAGGTTTCTGATTCTGTATCTGTGGCTCTTTCTACACTACTATGCCATCCCTCCCTCCACTGGAGGAAAAAAGTTGTGCTTGGCTTTCAAGTTCCTCTTTTACATGCTTTCCCTGCCTTATTTATAAACTGGTTCATTCCTCACTCCAGTCTTGAGGAGATCCCCACAAGCCTATGGATGCATCATACTCATTCCCAGCACTCCATCTTTGCTCTTGCTGTGTCTGCCCTCTCACCTCTTTCCCTACAATAGTGACCTTGCTCTCCTCTTCCATTTATCTAGATGCACTGGCTCCCTTTTCATATAGATTTATCTCAGGCTCCAAGCTCACCATGCAGTCTTGTTCACTCTCTATCAGAATTCTTGTTGAACTTGTAGTTAGTACTGTCCAGTTGATTATTCTCCAATTATTTCCTATATATTAGTTTTATCTACTGTCCTAGGCTGTCAGAGATGCAGGTTATTGAGGACATACTAAATGCTAAGCCCTCTTCTAAGAGTCACTCATTAATTCCTTATAGTAGCTCTGAGCTAGGCATTAATAGCCCACCTTATATGTTAGAAAACTGAAGCTCACAGAAATTACGTGAGAAATTCGAATTTCACAATTACCTAGTAGCAAAGGTAGTATGTGACCTGACTCACAGTGAAGTGTTCAGTAAACAGAAAATGTGGATTTGACCAGATACTCTGTGTTCTCAGCATGGGTATCTTGAGACTAGGTCTTTGTGTGTGTGTGTGTGTGCTTTGGGTGCAAATTTACAGAGCAGAATGTGTTTTACATTCAACAGTTTGTGTACATTTGGTTTCATGCCCTGATTACCATCTCCAACCCTAACACACTCTTCTCCCCTCCCTTTCCTGTGATCCCCTTCCCTGTACCCTTCTTAACTATGCACTCCTATCTGTCCAGCTTTTCCTCCATGTGAATGCTGAGGCCAAGTCTTTTGACATATTTTTCTCTCATTCTCTCAGAATAGTGTGCACAGACAGAAAGCACAAATGTGATTGAGTCATGTTTTTCTTTTGCTTTTCAGGGCCTCAAAACAGAGCATTGATAATGAAAGGAGGTACAACCTGGAAAATGACATTACTTTGGCCAAGGCACTTCATCAATACCTTCCATACCTGGGGGTCTTGTCCCAGGCCACGGCTTCAAACATATACCCTAGGATGAAGAATGACAAACCACCAATTAAGGTTGAAACTTGTACCTTAATTTTTATGATCTGATTTTTTTCTCTTCCTTGGCTCTGTAGTTTTCTCCATGGTACAGACACTTATGAATGTTTCATAAATCTTCAGCTCCTCTTGATTTGACTCCTTTATTGACTTTTAATGGCAGGAAAGTGAAGGGCTAGGCAGTGTGGAGAGAGATTCTCATGATGCCCCCTTTAGTGTTACACATACATCCAAGTCCAGCAATGTCGCTGAGCCTACGTACAGGTGGCCTACCTGCTGTAAAAGTTAAGCCAGTTAATTTTCCATGCCACCCTTGGGGCTAAAGGTCATTACAATGTCTTCAGGATTGTAACTCTAGAAAGCTCACTTTAAAAAATATAAGTATAACACCTGGGAGGAAAAACAGAATATCACTCTTTAAGGACCATGTATCACTGTCTGCAACTCAGATAGACAGGCCCTGAGGACATTTAGCAATGGGCACTCAGAATTGATGAGAGGGAGGAGGGCATGAGGACCCTGGCTTTGTCTGGAACTGGTAGCCATAGCATCACTAACTATCCCAGTTTTTCCAAAATTGTCCTCATTTACCAAACCCAGATCAGCATAAGGATTCTGTGTAAGCCTGAGTAGGAACAGAGAGTTTGGCTACCAAAAGATGAGATGGATGGACAAGAAAGACAGGTAGATACAGATACTGGAATATAAACTATTATATGCTTTTATCCAGAACTAGGCCCAACTGTTGTAGCCCTCAGTTTGAAAATCATTTTATACTAAGGCAAAAATCTGTCCAAGAGCCATTTTGGAATGTGAAGCTTATTCAAAAGAGCATTTTCAAGAAACAGGATTAGAAACATCCGTGAACTTTTAAAATGGAAAAGTCTGCATGCTTATCATGACAACTTGTTAAACAGGATCACCAGATTCTGACTTGCCTTGGAAAGGGAAGGAGATGGGTGCTAAAAGAATTATCTTCAGAGACTGAGGACCATTACACATTTTGAGGATAGATTTTGGGCAAACAATTGAAATCCAGATGATCCTGGGTATTTGACAGCTCTCCTTAACACTTTATTATTATTATTTGTGGCAAAGCACTAGTTGCCATCATTTAAATCTGACCTATTTTTTTTTCTCTCTGAATCAGAAGTCAAGCTTTTATAAGACTGATGGACAACTGGATGATTCTTTTATCTTTCTTTTAAACACCACCGGGGTTTCATCAGAAGATGGCTGTGGCCTCTGTGACAGCCCTTGGACATGTGTGGAAAGCAATTTGGGCTTTTTTTTTTTTACTGTAATCAAGACATTGAAATTATTTTATCAATTCTGGGCTGGTGTGTTGGGAAACATGCATATACCTAGGAAGATTAGGTCAAAATTTTTGAGAGGCTATACCACTGACCAGGTTTGATTTAGGATCTTAGTGAACTTTGAATTTGACACATCACAAGACAGAGGTACACATTTTTGTAGAAGGATGCTGCAAGCCCACAAATGAGGTCAAATTTGATGTGGGCTAGATGAAGAAGCTGGTTGTATACATTAAGAGAAAACACTAAAGAAAGACCAAGATCTGTTGTGCTAACTGTTCTCTGAAATACCTTGTAAAACCCTTCTTAACAGTCTTTAGACATCCAGTCTCATATTCGATTAGGAGGCATTTAATGATGATATTTTATCATAGGCAATAACATTGCCCCCATGCCACAGGAATAAAGAGTTTTAACACTGACCCAGGACAGTGTTAAGGCTAAGGCTACGTATGCTGTGTCCTAGAGCCCTAGGAGACCATTCTCAGGAGGCTGAATTCCATTGTTCCAGGTGAAGTTGGACATTTTCCCAAGTGGCATCAGTTCTGTATTTAGATTGTCCCCCAAGGAAGAAGCAGAAATGACATGACCCCCCTTGGAACATCTGCTGAATGGTCTGGATCATGAGAATTTGTTTGCCTGTTTTATGGAAGTCATCCCTAATGGTGGAGGGCAGGGGTCTTCAGTCCTCACAGAAATACACTAGTAACAGAGCACTACTGCCCTCTAAAGTAGACAATAGGAAAATGTATTAGTGATCCCAACACTGTACATTGCCAAACGTCCCCCCAACAACCAACCTAGACCATGTACCAGATTGCAAAATACATTTTAAAGCCTTTATATGAACCACTGACAAGCATCTAAACACAAGCCTTAACAATATTGGAAGCAGGTTCATGTAACATTATTTTTTGCTAATGTTAAAGTTAAATTTAAGGTTTTTCTGTTTTGCAATTTTTTTTCCCCCACAGATATTGACTTAAGTGTTTATTTTTGTTTTTTGAGCCAGGGACCAAGCTAGACACTGTGGGCAGTAAAGATGAATCACATATGGATTTTTTTCCTCAGGGAATCAGTGAGGTGTGCATATGGGAGGTGAGATAAGATGTGCCAGGCAGACTGTGGAACCAGTTCTGAGCCCTACTTCTTCACCTATTACTTCTGTGACTGCAGGGAAGTTGCTTAACCTCCCTGTCCTTCAGGTCCCTCAGCTGTAAAGTTGGGATGATAATTGTTGTTGTTATGTGCCATCGAGTCAAGCCCGACTCATAGCGACCCCTCCTTGGGTTTCCGAGGCAGTATCACTACGGAAGTAAGATTGCCCAACCTTCCTTCCGAGGAGTGGCTGGTGGATTTGAACTGCCAGCCGTCTGGTTAGCAGGCAAGTGTCTTAGCCATAATAGTCATGACTAATGAGAGTATTAAATTAGGAAAACACATGTAATATTCATACTGAAGTGTTTTAAAAATAGCAATTATTATATTATTATTGTTAATAGTATTGATAAAATAATATTTTGAAGATGAAACAAAAATTATGTCAAGAGTTTGAAAACCATTCAGTGGACATTTAGTAGAGTTCTCTGATTCTGCAAAGTAAAATCAGAGGAAAGCAACTGTACTTGCAAAACAAATTTAATCAATATAACCCAGTGCCTTAGAATACCAAGAAGCAGCAGGTTACTATTCTAACCATAATGCAACGGAATACAGATTTCATTTGTTTACTTCACAGCACAGTGGAAAACCAAGATCTCTCCCAATTCTCTTGAATATTGGTAATTTAAGTACATACAAATATAAAATCATCTTTTGTCTTCCTCCTTTGTCCCCTGTTGTGTCTTTATCAAAAGGGATATGAAGCTTCATGCTCAGTCTTCACTACTGCTGTGGGATTTCTGGGCTTCTGTAATGGAGATATCACATCATGTCCCTAGATGTTAGATGTGAATAATCAATAAACAGTAACCCGTGTGCAGTCCAGAGGTGGTTTTAGTAATAAAAGTGGGAAGACAAAGAGAGTCATTAAAAGTTCCAGAGACTCAGAAGAAGTTTGAATGAAAAGAAATCAGTTGAAATATCTCTTTGAAGCATGTGAACATGTTTTTCCTCTAACTTAATGGGGGATATTATACAAACGTAGGAGCTCTGGTAGCATAGTGGCAAAGACACTTGCCTGCTAACCAGACAGCTGGCGGTTCAAACCCACCAGCCACTCCTCGGAAGGAAGGTTGGGCAATCCTACTTCCGTAGTGATACTGCCTCGGAAACCCAAGGAGGGGTCGCTATGAGTCGGGGCCGACTCGACGGCACATAACAACAACAACAACAGACTTATGTCCAAAGTAGCCTCTTCATCTGCTACAGAGATAAAATAGAGAAGGGATGTACACACTCTGAGGAACAGTCAGCTTGCCCAGATAGGAACAATTAATAAAGCGTAAAGAACAAAAAGCCATTAGTTTTATATAATAGAATCCTCAGTTGTTCAGTTCTGATCCTAACATCATGCTTCTCTTTTAATTTTAGTTATTTTATTAACTTATCGAAACTACTAAAATGAATCACCACCTGTCTGTCAATTTGTCATGCTGTGATGGCTTGTGTATTGCTTGTGATGCTGGAAGCTATGCCACCAGAATTTCACATATGAGCAGGATCAACCAAGGTGAAGTTTCAGTGGAGCTTTCAGACTACGACAGACTAGGAGGAATGGCCTGGAGATCTGCTTCTGGAAATCAGTCAATGAAACCCTATGGATTACAGCAAAATATCATCCAATATAGTAGTGGAAGATGAGCCCCCTAGGTTGGAAGACACTCAAAATATTCAGTGACTACAACAATGGACTTGAGCATATCAGTGACTGTGAAGATGGTACAGGACTAGACAAGGTTGTGTTCTGTTGTACAATGGGTTGCCATAGTAGGAATTGACTAGGAGGCAACAACCACAACTAAAATGAAAGAGTCAAATATAGAGCAGAATTTGCTCACTGGACAAGGAGTGGCATGGAATTTACCAAATAGCCAAAGTGTGTATTAAAAGAGATCCCTTTTGACTCTTTGCCATACTCTCTGGCTATTGGCAACCCAATATGAGATAAAGCAAGCAGGTATGATATTTAGGTATTAAAAATAAACTGCAGCAAGTTGTAGAAATTTGTTAAAAGTGACAGTCTTTGGTAGAATGTTGAGAAATTCATGCTATGAGCCATCAGGAGATTTTTTGGATAATGCCAAGTGCTTATAGCAACTCTTGTGGGGAAGGCAAATAGATAGAAGGGCTGCTTCTTAAAATTGCTCTTAGGATATTCAGTATGCCCTAAGAACCTCTTGAAGTGGTTAAATAATTTTGCTAGATCCTTATGAGCTGGACACTTATGCCAAAGGGGAAGAGCAATGAAGCTGTTGCCTCATTACACTAATCAGTGGTATTTTGCAGAGTCTTTCTAGTCCTGATTTATACATATTGTGATTCTAATACCAGGGAATCTGAAAACTGGGTCCTAGGATTGCTCTCAAAGCAGCCTTCGCCATACTGGAAAGATAGTGTAACTTGATGTCTTTGCACTAGACCATTCTTTCCTTCAGAAGCTTATGATTTGGGATATTGTGAAAGTTAGGTTTTATGGTATATCACATTGTCTTTGGTACCCACTCTAAGGTCACTGATGGGAGTGGGAAAGGAATGGCATGC